GCAAAGCAGGGTGGTGGGGGAGGAAGAGGGAGAGACAAACCAAGAAACGGACTCTTAAGTATATAGAACAAAACTGATGGTTACCAGAGGGATGGGGGTGCTGGGCGCACCAGGTGATGGGGATTAGGGCGTGCACTTGTGATGAGCACCAGGTGTTGTATGGAAGTGCTGAATCGCTCCATTGTACACCTGAAACTAATATACACTGTATGTTAACTCACTGGAATTTAAATCAAAAATTAAAGTACATACTTGAGATTTTCCTTTAGAGAAGACCCGTTGGTAGCAAACTCCCAGTTGTCATTTTCCTGAAAATGCCTTTATCCTCGAAAGATAGTTTTGTAGGGTCTGCAATTCTTGATTGACCTCTACTGTCTTGGCACAGTGAAGATAGAATCTTCTAGTTCGCTTACTGCTGTGGGGAAGTCTGCTGGTGGTCTAACTGGGGCATCTTTATGGTGCTGTAGACAGTCTGGCTTGTTTTTCTGGTGGCATTAAAGAGTTTCTGTTCATCTTTGGTGTTCTGAAGCTTCACTACTGTGTGCGTAGGTGAGGATCTATTGCAAAGTGTCTTCCTTGCTTGTATGTGTGTATACATTGTGGTGGCAAATGTGGTACGTGTGAATTCATGCCTTTGTTGGGTTCTGGACATTCTCAGCTACTATCTCTTTAGATGTTGTTTTTCCTTCATATTTCTGTTCTGTCTCTGAGAGTTTAACTGCATGTTAGACCTCACTATTCTAGCCTCCACTCTCCACAGCTTTTTTTTTTTTTTTTTTTTGGCATATATGTATATTTTAGCTCCCTATCTCTTTCTGCAGCAAACTTAGTAACTTCTTCAGTCTGCCTTTCAGTTTACTAATCCTCTCTTTATCTCCATCTTAAATGCTATTTACCCCAAACATTCAGTTTTTCATTTTAATAATTATAGTTCTTATTTCTGTTTAAAAAATTTTTTTGATGTTTATTCATTTTTGAGAGACTGAGAGACAGAGACAGAGTATGAGCAGGGGAGGGGCAGAGAGAGAGGGTGACAGAATCTGAAGCAGGCTCCATGCTCTGAGCCGTCAGTATGGAGCCCGACGCAGGGCTCAAACTCACAGACCACAAGATCATGACCTGAGCTGAAGTTGCACACTCAACCAACTGAGCCACCCAGGTGCCCCTATAGTTCTTCTTTCTTCTTCTTCTTCTTTTTTTTTTTTTTTTTTTAAATATTTTTATTTATTTCTAGGAGAGAGAGAGAGAGATAGCATGAGCAGGGGAGGGTCAGAGAGAGAGGGAGACACAGACTCTGAAACAGGCTCCAGGCTCTGAGCTGGCAGTCAGCACACAGCCTGACGCGGGGCTCGAACCCACGAACCGTGAGATCATGACCTGAGCGAAAGTCGGTTGCTTAACCGACTAAGCCACCCAGGCGCCCCTATAGTTCTTATTTCTAAGAGCTCTGTTTAGTTCTTCAAACCTGCTTGTCACATTTGCTTGATTATTAAAATACCTATTTTTTTTTAATATTTTTTATTTATTTCTAGGAGAGGAGAGAGTGACAGCGTGAGCAGGGGAGGGTCAGAGAGAGAGGGAGTCACAGACTGAAACAGGCTCCAGGCTCTGAGCTGGCAGTCAGCACAGAGCCCGACGCGGGGCTCGAACCCACGAACCGCGAGATCATGACCTAAGCGAAAGTCGGACGCTTAACCGACTAAGCCACCCAGGCGCCCCATAAAATACCTATTTTTTTTTTAACAGGAGGGATTAGTGAGGATATGGAAAAATTGGAACCTTTGTGCACTGTTGGTGGGAATGTAAAATGGTGTGATCCTTATGGAAAACAATGAATAATTAAAAACAGATACCATATGATCCAGCAATTCTGTTCTTAGGTATATACTCAGAGACTCCAAAGCAGGGTCTTGAACACCTGCTTTGAAGAGAGATTTTTACACCCATGTTCACAGCAGCATTGTTCACAGTGGCCAAGAGGTAGATGCAACCCAGATGTTCATCAATAGATGAATGGAGAAAGAAAATGTGGTATAAATAATGGCATATTATTCAGCCTTAAAAAGGAAGGAAAATCTGGGTTGCCTGGGTGTCTCAGTCGGTTGAGGGTCTGACGTGGCTCAGGTCATAATCGTGCGGCTCGTGGGTTCGAGCCCTTCATCTGGTTCTGTGCTGACAGCTCAAGAGCCCGAAACCTACTTTGGAGCCTCTGAGGAAGGACAGGACAAGATTTCCAGAAGATGTCCAAAATTATCCCTGAAAATATCCAGATTCAACTAGCCTTTGGGCTGTGACTGTTCTCTGGACCACTCCCTAGAAGGCTGCATCCAAAACAATTAATTCGGGGACACCTGGGTGGCTCAGTCGGGCTTCGGCTCAGGTCCTGATCTCGCAGTTTGTGAGTTTGAGTCCTGTGTCGGGCTCTGTGCTGACAGCTCAGAGCCTGGAGCCTGCTTCGGATTCTGTGTCTCCCCCCTCCTCTCTGCCCCTCCCCTACTCGAACTCTGTCTCTCTCTCTCTTGAAAAATATAAAGAAACATTAAAAAAAAGGAAAATCTGACACATGGCTACAACCATGGGTAAACCTTGAAGACATTGTGCTAGATGAAGACATTATGCTGGTGGTCAAAAAGACAAATACTATATGACTCCACTTACATGAGGTCCCTAGAGTAGTCAAATTCATAGAGACAAAAGGTAGAAGGGTGGCTTCCGGTATCTGGGGGCAGGAAAAGATGGGGAGTTATTGTTGAATGGGCATGGAGTTCTGGGAGGGAAAAACCCTTCTGGAGACAGATGGTATTGATGGCCACATAACAGTGTAAATGTACTTAATACCACTGAGCTGTATACTTAAAAATGGTTAGGATTGTAAATTTTATGTGTGTTTTAAGTTAAAAGTATTTAAAAATATTTTAAAATGCGGAAAAGTGCCCATTTTTAATTTATTTAAAGATTTATAAGCTCTTATATTGGAAGCCCTGTAGTGTGACAGTTCATAGCATGCACCCTGGAGTCTGACTGCTCTTATTCAGCGTACCTATATGTAACCTCAGGCAAGGTCCTTAGCCTCATTGTGCCTTAGTTTTCTTACCCATAAAATGGGGATATGGATGGCACCTCTCTCCTAGGTTTGTGTGAATGTTAAATGACTCAGGATGCAGTGAGGCACTTAGAATAGTGTCTGGCATATAGAAATATCCTGCAGTATCAGTTTATGATTATTTTTAAGTTTATTTTTTGGGGCGAGAGAGAGTGCACAAGCAAGTGGGAGAGGGACAAAGAGAGAGAGGGAGAGAAAGAGAATCTCAAGCAAGCTCCACATGGAGCCCAATGCAGGGTTGGAACTCATGAACAGTGAGATCATGACCTGAGACGAAGTCGGACATGCAACTAGATGAGCCACCCAGGTACTCCATTATTTTTTTATTACAATCTGATAATGCGAACGTTTAAATTACTTGGTTTTCTTATAATTTGCTGTTTTTGATGATTCCCACTCATGGGGTTTTCTTCAAAAATTTTTTTAATGTTTGTTTATTTTTGAGAGAGACAGAGCATGAGCAGGGGAGGGACAGAGAGAGAAGGAGACACAGAATCTGAAACAGGCTCCAGGCTCTGAGCTGTCGGAACAGAGCCCAACACGGGGCTCAAACTCAGGAATGGCGAAATGTTGACGTAGGCTGAAGCCAGACGCTTAACTGACTGAGCCACCCAGGCACCCCTCATGGGGTTTTTTTTTTTTCAAAAATCTTGGCTGATCTTTGATTGTGAGCGCTGGCTCTGGGCTGAGTTCTCATCATCTCAACTTTCATGTGGGTCCTGGTTGCCAGGACAAACCAAGATTTTAGTTAGCTGTTGCTCCCCAATCTCTACCATCGTTTCAGCTCATGATTCTGATGGTTTTGTTTATTTCTTTATGCATTTATTTGGCCTTTGGGGATTTCTATTACTCCTGAGAGCCTAGTGAAGCGTTAACAAGTGTATTTATCTAAGATCTGACCAGGAGGCCCGTCAGATGCCTGGGCCTTCATACAGTGGCCAGAGAAGTCCATGGGGCTTAATTCTCTGACCATTTGAGTGCTTATGGTCATGCTTAGGGTCCCTTGGAAACCCATTTAGGGACCACCTCAGACTTTGCAGGTGATAAATGTCTTTTTTTTTTTTTTTTTTTTTTTTTTAAAGAATGCAAGCAGCCACACCCAGGGCTCTCCAGGGAGGACTCAGAGGTGCAGTACCTCCTTCCAGCCATTGGGGGTGCCATGATTTACTATCAGCCTTGAATCCCTAAATCACCTCCCTCCCAAGTCGTGGGTGTTATCTCTGGCCCATGGTTGGGTATATGGTAGGCAGGAGAAATGGGAAGAGGCCTTGTGTGGGGTGGAGCCGTGCTCACCCTGGCTTCCCTAGTCTGCAAGTTCACTATTGCCATCACTCAGAAGCTCCAGTCTTGGGTCTCCTTTTTCCTTCTTTGAGACTCAGTGGGCTCCCAGGACCTTTCCCTGCCCGGGCCCAGGAATGATGCAGTGGTGGTGCAGCAATCCTAGCTCAGTTCTTATCACGCAGTGCAGTCAGCATGTGTCCAAGGCTTCACAAGCCTCTTTAATAGCAGCAGACACAGGGCTCACCATGACGACAGTAAGTAACAGTAGTTGTGTCAGTAGCAGGACCGTGCATTTACGTTACATTTGGTTTCTTGCTCTGAGTGTGCTTGGGGATGGGTGGGGGAGGGGAGGGCTGGCTCAGACCCTCTCCTCCTTCCATTCCAGCCCTTGGTGATCTGGGCTCTCACCGGAGAGTCTACGTCCATTCAGTAGAGGAGGAATGTTCCTTCTTGGCTTAGCAATGCCTTCTAGACTTTGGTGCGAAGGGCGGCCTATTCAGTGGGTTGTGTTGTTCTGCTTGGGATGCTTGGAGCCCCAGGGGTGGTGGAGTGGGGGCTGCTGGCTTTCTTCTGGGGGCCTGCGGCCTGTGAGGTCTTTTGTAGGAATGGAGGCCCTTTACTGCACCAAGAAATGTTGAGGCTGTGGGCAGAGAGGGGTGCCCAAGGGGGCTCTTGCTCTGTCTGACTTCTGGGGGATCCCCAGGTGGGTGGGACGGGGGAAGCAGCTCCCAGCGGTACGGAGGGGCGGAAGCATCATGGCCTAGACTACAACAAAAGACCAACAAAGAGTCAGATGATTTGAAACTGGACAAGGTGGTGACGTGTGCAAAATTAGCCTGCCTTTTCTGAAGCTCTTTGCTCCCCTCTCTCTTTTCTAGGGAAGTTTCTCAAACCTTTCCACCTCCTTCTCAACAGAATCTGTTCTCTGGAAAGTCTCTGATAGTCTCATTCTGCCAGGGAATAGAGAGTGATGAAGCTGGGTGTGTTCCATACCCTAAGCCATTTGCATTTAAGGGGATTGTCTGATCTAGGGACTTTCAGTTCTTAATGGTGGACTCTCTGTCACTGGTAGGGAAAATTATTTAGGATGTAAGGGGTTATCTCAGCCCTTTAAGTCAAATCTAAGCAAAGTTTGGTACCTTTAGGGTAGAGTAAGGGAAGGGTAGGCACAACGGGAAGCTCACCTTCCGGACATTGTAGATCCAGTTGAGATAGCCTGTGACCTTGGTGTATACTCCTGGGGTACTCGGGCTCCCACAGCCATGGCCCCAGCTCACGATGCCCACCACTTGCCACTTGTCAGAGTGATACATCAGGGGCCCACCGCTGTCACCCTGTGAGACACCAGAACGGGCTGCCGGAGAGGGCACGCAGGTGTGGGGTGGAGGAAGGGGCTTCTCTTCCTTGGCCTCCCACCCCTGCATTAACGCATCTATTCTGTGCCTCCCAGTGCTCTGTGCTGTTCTGCCTTCACTGCCTCTGCCCATGCTGTTCCTGCAGCTTGGAATGACCTTCCACTTGCGGCAAAAGGGTTCTGTTTGTGGTCAAGGAAGTTGTTGGCTGCTGTTAGCCTTCTCGCAGGGATTCACAACACACACTAGCAAACCGAAGGCTCTAAGGGGTTCGGCGGTGAGAAGCCTGACTGTCTTTGTTTAACCTAGCATTTCCCAAATTGATTTAGCTACTCATGGGGTGCCTACTGCATGCCACCTACTGTTCTGGACAATGTCCTTGGGGAGCTTAGAGTCAAATGGAGAAGAGAGCAAGAAGAACAAGCAAACAACAAAACAGATTAAGAATATGTCAGATAACAAGAAGTGTACTGTGTGGGTGTCTGTCCCAGATCCTATAGCCCCCCAAGACTCCCTCCCTCCCGATAACACCGTAGCCTGACTGCCCCCACCCCCACCACTGTGAGATCCTTGAGGGAAGAAGACACTGTCCTCCAAACCACTCTTTATCTGGCATTCTAGAGATGACTAAGAGACACCTCTTGAGTGGAGGAATTTAATGACCGAGAATGGGGACAGGAGTAGGGTGAGGGGCTTTAATGCAAATGGCTCAGAAGATCCTCTGGGAGCGGAGGGAGTGAGGATGCATCCCGGGACCCATCAGTGCGGTGGGTGGGGAGGCCTTGCGCCAGGGCTTAACCAGCATTAGATTGTTTTCTCTAGTGCAGTTCAGGATCTTGACAGTTCTAGAGAAAATAGACCTGGTGTTCTGCCCTCAAGTGACAGGGAGTAAGATGAAGGGAATCTTTGTATGTGAAATACGCATTTGAAATCTTCCTGCTTGTTTCCATCCTTCCGTCTTTGACCTCGACCCTTGACCCTTGCCTTCTCTCTCTCCCTTCCTCACACATGGAGTGCCCACCACATACAAGACTTCAGGTGGGGCAGTCCCCCTCTGGGCTTTGCCTCTCCGAGACTAACCTCCCTAGCCAAGGAACTCCCTCATGATCCCACCTGGCAGGTGTCCACGCCGCCCTCCAGGACGCCCGCGCACAGCATCTTTTCAGTAACCTCCCCCTGGTATGCATCCTCCGCGTTGCACCGAGCGCGGTCAATGACCTGCACGGATGCCTGCAGCAGCGTGTCCGACATCTTTCCTGGGAGGTTGAAAACACACTCACATTCCCAGTTTTGCCTTCTACCCCCAGCCCGGGATAATTCTCAGGGTTGCCTGGCACCTTGGTGCTTGGACTTCCAGGATGGGTTTTTCTGAAGCATGGTCGTCCTTCCCGTCACTTCCGAGAGCTGCTCCCTCAGCCCTGTGGTCCTGAGCTTGGGACTTACCTCCACCCTGCTCCGTAAAGCCCCATCCGATGACCCAGAGTGGGGTGGCTGGAGTGAGCTCCTCATCGAAGAAGGGCAGGCAGATGGGTCTGACGGTGCCTGCCAGGAGCAGAGAGAAAGAGGGAGAGCCTGGTGGTTAAGCCCTCTGAAAAGGTTGACGGCAGGGTTTGTGGGATCTATTTTCTATGGGACCTTAACAAAAGTGGCATGAGAAAAAAAAATTCTGTGGTCAAATAAATCGAGGAGCTATGCGTTAAACATAATAAAACACATTAAAAATTTTTTAAACCGTATCTTTAATATACTCGTATGGACCAAGACGAGAGCTCTACTATAAAAATGTTTCCCAAACTTACTTGGGAATAGAACCCTCATTTCTCCAAGGGACTAGAGTCCTGCACGAGTGGCAGTTGGAAATGCTATCCATAGATATAAATACTATCCAAACATGAGTCCTCTACCAGAGCTGTTCAAAGATTCCGTGGGCTTCCCTAAAAGTAATGAGCAGCCGGTCCCTGGAGGAGACCAGATGGGCACAACCCCTTGGCAGAGATATTGTGCAGGCTCTTGGCATCGGTTGTGGGTGGAGGATGGACTAGATGATCTTTTAGGTCCCTCCCAACTCCAAGATTGGACGCATCTACAATTCTCACTTGAGGCGCTGCGCATGGAGAAAACAGATTTCCCAAGAATCCAGCAGGAGCTGACAGCTCAAGGGGGCCTCATGGCATCACTGACGTTAGGCTGGTAAATTCACTGGAGACAAACGTACAGCCAAGGGCTTGAGAGGACAAATGATGTGCCCGAGGCCACTTAGTGAGCTCGTGGAAGAATGGGAGAATAAGCTGATCCACGGGGTCTATTCCCAGATGCCGCCTCTCACCGGAGAACGTGAGCGGAAACTGAAGCTTCACGAGGGCAATGTCCTTCTCTTTGGGGTACGTGGTGTTGAACTCAATGACGGAGATGCTGGCCACAGGCAGGGATGGGAAGTTGCCCATTTTGTCTGAGCCAGCCCTCACCTTCCAGTTGGATACATCGAGATGCTTCCTAGGGGCAGAGGCAGAGTTGAGACCTGAACCAAGCATGAGGAGACCTTGTCAAAAGCTGGGTCCCCAGGGATCTGGAGACTGGGGTGCTGAATGTCCCCACTTGAGGAGGTAATGATGGTGGGGGCAGGAGTGGCAGAGAAGGAACAGGTCTGAGGAATCCCCTACCAAAGGCCCAATTGCAAAAGGGGATTTGATCCTTTCCCCCGGTGCAATCTATCCAAGGAAGCTTCTAATTGGAGGGCTGAGGAAGGGGCTGTACCCAGTGCCTGAGCTCTGGGGTCCTGGCCCTCTCTCCTACAATGCTTTTTATCCTCTGTGTTACTCATGTGATACTCGCTCGTGTTGCCAGTTATGTTACATACTTGTCTCTCTTCCTCTTGACTCCAGACATTTCTGCCTGCTTAGTGTGCAGGGCTCGTTCTCCAGGAAAGAACTTAGAGCTTTGTAAGATCCCAGAAAAGGTTAAGAATCACTGGCCGACACCATGAGTTCCTCTAAGGCAATGATGGGATCTAACACACATGGGCACATGATATAGTTCTCATCATCTGAGGACTATGTTGAATGAAAGGAAGGAAGGGAACAAAGAAAGGAAAGGAAATAAGTGAAGAGGGCCAAGGAGTAATCCTTCCCCAGAGGTTGGGGCAGGCCTCTCTCTGCTAACCTGTAAGGGAATCTATGCTTTTTTAAAGTTTTTAGCCATGACAAAGGAGTGGCAATGACTCTGGATCCTGGAACCAGTCCGTAGAAGACTGACAGAGGGGGAGTGTTCTCAGGACTGCAGGGAGATGGAGGGGAAGAGCTGTGGCGTGATTGATATGGAGCCAGACTGAGGACACTGGGTATCTGATGGCTTCCCAAATGGAAGGGACCAAGCTGGGTGACCTGCGCCCTCTGCTCAGACCCGGAGTGTCCTAACCAAGGATATCATGTCCAGTGTCTCCTTGAGGTGGCCACACCCTGGCACACAGTCTGTAGAGGGAAGGCAAAGAGGGGCGAGAGCATCGAGACACAGGTTGGGAGACGGGGGAGCCAGGCGCTCCGGTCCCTCCAAGGCTTTGATCCCCCAGGGCTTCTGTGCAGCGCGGGCCTTACCTGAAGCAGTGGGCTGCCGTGAGGATCCAGTAGGGGTCCAGGATGCTCCCTCCGCAGATGTGTTGTTGGTTGTACTGGATGCTGACCTGCCAAGGCCAAGAATCCACGGAGGCCTTCTCCCCGCCCACCACCCGAGGGGCCTTCAGGCTCTCCCCACAGGCTGGAGTCAGGAGGAAGGAGGGAGAAATCAGGAGTCAGGCGCCAGAGGGGATGGCCTTCCCTTGGAGCCCAAAGTCCATCCCCTTAGAGCAGGGCCTGGAGGGGTGGGGAGGACCAGGCCAGTTTTGAGCTATTTATAGGAAGACCTTGAATATCCCAGACCATCGGCTTTCCCGCAATCTCCCCCTCCTTTGTTCAGCCTTGGGTGTGTTAGAGTTTCTATTGTGAATGTGGGTGTGTCCATTGTGCCGAGAATTCATGACCTTCAAGCCAAACAGTGATGCAGAATTATGAAAGTCCTGCCCAAGCAGAGTGTCCCCAGTCATTCCGCTGAGTATTGGCAAGCAGACGCCCACAAACTGCTCTGGGGGAGTGGGAAGAAAGTGGATCTTCCTATCTTAAACTCCCCTTTCTCCGATTCCCCCTCCCCCTCTGTGTGAGTCTCCCTGATTGACAACTTTCTTTCCCATGCTACTCTCCTTGGCTTTTCCATCATGACCCTCAAGCTCTTGTAAAAGCCTCCATTCCCACCTCCCTGCCCTGCTCTCTGCCTCTCCAGTCCTGGAGGTCACTGCCACAGTGGTGCTTCTCAGAGGAAAAGGCTGCCCTTACCCCCTCAGAGCCCCGAGGTATCTCTCTTTCTAGAGTAGAGTTTAAAGTCCTCCTTCTGGCAGCTGCCTGCAGTCTTCTATCAGGTTTCTGTCTAGCCGAATCGATCTGCTTGTAGCTCCCTAAAAAGTCCTCCTTTTTTTGCTCAAGGAAGTCCCTGTCCCTGAGATGCTATCCGCTGTGCTGTTTATCTAAACCACTGATTCACTCAGCACATTTGAATCAAGTGCCTACTGTGATCAAGGGTGCAGGAAAGAGAGCAGAGGACAAGACAGACCAACAGATGTGATCTCTCCTTTCCGGGAGCCTAAGGCTCACGATTTAGCCTGGGCACCACCTCCAGGCCACCCAACCCCTGGGGATTTTTCTGGTCTTGGAATTTCCATAGCCTGTCCTGGGTGCTGGCCAGCCGTTCATTTTGGTTGTGCTTCAGTCTTCTCAGTGAGCCTCAGCCTTCTCAGTGAGACTCCGGGGAGGGTCTGTGACCACGTGTTGGCATCCCCCCCCCCCCCCAGGAATTGTGGGTGTCACCTGATGGTGACAAAAAGTCTTAACATCCGAAGAGGAAGCATATCTACTGCAAAGGCAGTGATGATGACCTCGTTCTACTCAGCCCGTCGAATTTCTGGCCATCCTTCCAGGCTCTGCTCAGGTCTACCATGGGGCTGGTTGCGTGAGCTGGACCACAGTGCTTGTTTTCTCTTCTGATCTCCTCTATAAGAGCAGGGAGTCTCCCAGAATCCTCTTGGGCAGCTGGACGAAAGGCTTTCTAGGGAAGTGGAACCTCAGAGAGATCAAGTGCATTATTCAAGGTCACGCTGGAAGCCAGGGGGTCTCCTGGCCTCTGAAGATCTCTCTCTGCCATGTCAGCTGTGGCCACTGCTCAGTTTGCACCACACATAGAGCCTTGCGTCTCGCTCCTCAGCTCAGTCATAAGCTCCCGAGGACAGTGGCTGATGCTTTCCCTTGTCGGGTATTTTCTATTGCTAAGCAGCACCTGACTATGCTAGACACGGTCTAACTGTTCAGTGTCTTTTGGCTAAACTGAACATGGATAATTTGATCTTGGATAACGGGGCAGACTGTGACCCAGTGACGGGGGAGGGAGGGTGTGGAGGCCCAGATCTGTCCTTTCCAGTTTTCTGTTCCCTGTTCTCTGCTTAGGCTGTGGGGCTGTGTGTGGATGGTATGGAAGGGGTCTTAATGTCACCCACTTGAAGGAGCATTGACCTACAAACCCAAGGCCCAAAGAAGGAAGTTTGGGACAAAACAGAAGGAAACTTAGTCTGAGAGATTTAAGAGTGAGGATGAAGGTCTCCCTGCTCATCGCTGGCCCAGGGCCCGCACCCTCAGAGATGAGGCGTACTCACCAAGGCAGTGCAGGGAAACCAGGGAGCCTGAGAGGCAGGGCCTGGAAGGGAGACACAGAGCCTTGTGGTTTCTGAGAGGCAAGGATGCCGGTCCTCTGGCATGGTTGACCCCAGGCCCCTCCCAACACTTGGGAAATCTGGGACCCACATTCTATGGGACTGCATGGAAATGACCTGACCACTCAGCTCAGTTCTGCCTGTGTCTGAGCCCCTCTTGGCAGCCTAGAGTGGAAGAGCAGAGTCTGGAACAGTGTCCGTTGTACTGGGGGCTTTCCAAGTGGGGCGGGGTGGGGGCGGAGGGAAGGATTTGACTGGAATTAGAGGCAAACCATCATTCTGCTACCATCTTGGTCCTTTTCAAGATTCACTCTTGGATGAATAGCAGCCCTGAGTGGCACCCCTGAAGGCTAAGAAGCCAGCGTCCTCTCTGAGGCTCTCTGCTCCAATGTGACAGTTTTTCTCTAGCTGCCGGGCTCTATTGCAGGACTGTGACACATAGGAACAGGCCACTGCCAAGGGCCACGCAACCTTTTCCCTGGGGCGCTGGGAGTGTGGAGCCTTCTTCCTCTGGCCTGGGTGAGTGGCTGGGAAGGACAAAGTGGCCTTTGGAGTCTTGCCTATTGGGTTTTATTTTATTTTTTTAATTTTTTTTAAATGTTTTATTTATTTCTAGGAGAGAGAGGCAGTGCGAGCAGGGGAGGGTCAGAGAGAGAGAGGGAGTGACAGACTCTGAAACAGGCTCCAGGCTCTGAGCTGGCAGTCAGCACAGAGCCCAACGCGGGGCTCGAACCCACGAACCGCGAGATCATGACCTAAGCGAAAGTCGGACGCTTAACCGACTAAGCCACCCAGGCGCCCCTTGCCTATTGGGTTTAATTGGGAACATAAAGCAGCAGGAAAAATTTTGGTTTTAGCCACCGACACGTGGACCGCTGTCCAGCTGTCTGTTATATATCTAAAAAACGGAGTCAACCCAGAAAACCTCTCAGAAATCTGATAATCTGATTCTCTAGCCCTTGGTATCTGACAACCCTCATGGCATGGAGTTCTTCCTGTTGTCTCGCTTACATCCCCCTTGCTGCACCTGTTCAGGGAGGCAGCCAGCCTCGGCACGTGAGCCTCTTACAGGCCAGAAGGCATTTCCTCACTTACCCACTTAGATTTCGCACCTGAAGCTCCTGGCTGTTCTCTGTGATTCCAACAACATCCACGTCTTGGTCTGGGCCAATCCTCACGGCTTTGAAGGTGGGTTTGCTGTTCATGTCGGGAAGGGGAGACAGAGAGATGTGAGCGGGGGTGGGAGGTTAGAAGAAGATACTGGGGGTAGCCCCCACTGCCAGGACACGGGGGTTAAAGAATCCATCCCAGGACTTGGCTCTGGGCATAGCACGGATATGGTCTTGCTTCTCTGGTAGCGAGGTCTGGTCTAGATCCCGGAGCTCTGGACAAAGGTTAGAGACATGCTTTCCTAACGCCCAGCTGTAGCCCCATTTCTTTTTTTTTTTTTTTTTTAAATAATGTTTTTATTTCTAGTAGAGAGAGAGAGAGAGAGCGTGAGCAGGGGAGGGTCAGAGAGAGAGGGCATCACAGACTCTGAAACAGGCTCCAGGCTCTGAGCTGGCAGTCAGCACAGAGCCCGACGCGGGGCTCGAACCCACGAACCGCGAGATCATGACCCAAGCGAAAGTCGGACGCTTAACCGACTAAGCCACCCAGGCGCCCCAACATTTCAAATGTCCTAGCATTTTTTTTCCCTGGTTCACAGCCAGGAGAACAAGGGGGCAAAGGTTAGCTCCCTCCTCACCTCGAGGGCAACTGGAATGTGGATACTTGATTTTCCAAATAAGGCATTTGGTCTGAATTTGGTAGTGGGGGTACACTTACGGGTCCCGTGGAGATGGGGCAGGATGAGATCAATCTTTATACAAGTCCAGACAAACGCTCTTCCCACCTGGGCCACCCTTACCCTTTCTCTCCGCTAATCTGTTTGCCTTCTTTCAAATGTTGGGTTTAAGTCTTTGCTCCTCCAGGCAGTCTCCCCTGATTAATCCCGTTGTTCTGATTGTTCCTTACAGAATCTCTCCCATCCTTCCCCATCCAGTCCTGCCAGTACTGGCTCTGTGTGCAGGGCTCAGGTTGACGGAGGCACTGGCTGACTGGTCACTGGTGTTCTCACATTCCCAGGCGGGAATCACCCACTCCCTGGTGTGGCCCGATGCTGCATCTGGCTGGACTGGAGTCTGACAGTTCTGGGTTTTTTCTTTTTAATGTTTATTTATTTATTTTGAGAGAGAGAGAGAGAGTGCACAAGCGGTGGGGGGTGGGGGGCAGAGAGAGAGACAGACAGACAGACAGAATATCCCAAGCAGGCTCTGAGCTGCCAGCACAGAGCCTGAAGCGAGGCTCAGACTCACAAACTGTGGGATCGTGACCTGAGCCAAAATCCAGAGTCGGACATACTTAATTGACTGAGCTACCCAAGTGCCTTGGTGCTGGGTTTAAGAGCCCTGGAGATGGAGGTTTTTGTCCTGGCTCCGATACTAGCTTGATGTGTAACCTTGGCAGGTCACACCCTTCTCCTGGTTTCCTTACGCCTCAGTTTCTCCCTCTGTAAAATGATAGGTGGACCTGATGATCTCCAGAGCCCCTCCCACTTTGAACCCTGTAGGCTCTTATGGCCCTGGGAGACGGGCTTCCTGTCTAGGCGGAGGAAGAAAGGTAGAGAAACCTAGACCCAGAAGGAGGGACAGGGGTGGAAATGGACAGTTCCAGGAAAGTTAACCTCTGGTCACCACTTATATCCTCAAAAAAATATAATATCCTATTATTGTGTCAGAATAACTCTGACCAGCTTTGACTTGGAAGCTGGTTTGGTGTGTTAGTGAACTCTGGAAGGACAGAAGCTGCAGGAACCTATGACCTTAAGAAGGCCTGGGGACACCTTGGTTGCATAACCCAGCTGCAGCCCTCCCGCAGGCGGGGCGAGGCGGCGGCGGCTGCTGCTGCTGCTGCTGCTGCTGCTGCTGCTGCAGCTGCTGCTGCTACCATCGCCTCACTGCAGCTGGGCTGGGCTGCAGCGGGAGGAGGGGCTGGCTGCGGGGGAGGCTGCGCTGGGCGGCTGCTGGGGAAGAGCAGGGGCAGGGTGTGCCTTCCTGGCTCTCTTCAAGCATGAAGTTGGCAGAGGTGTCCTGTCCGGGGTTGTACCCTGTGGGGAGCAGGGAGCAGAGGGGGCGAAAGGGTCTGATGGCGCAGTGATGTTGCCTGGAGCGTTTCTCGAAGAAGGACCCTGAGGCTGCTTTAGGGCTCCACGGGAGGGGGTTCTGTGATTGATTGATGATGTCTGCTTGGCATTTCTCATTTCAGCCTATACTCTGGGTCTAGTTTCTTAGACTCCTTGGGGCTTTCCGGGGAGGAGGTACCCCACTCTGCAGCTGATTAAATGGGTTCTTCTTCCTCCTCTCTAGTTAGGCTCTCTGAGCGATCGATGGCCTCACCTCTCCTCCCTTTACAGGGAGAGCCTTGGGAGAGGAGAGAATGACCCAACCTAGACACAGATGCTGCTAGAATTCCTGATGCACAGGAATGAAGGGGTCTGGGGCACAAATTTCAGGCCTCTCCCTCCCAGCTCCTACCCAAGCAAGTTACTCATCTTCGCTGAACCTATTTCTACAACAGATACTGTAAAAACGACCTTTTTGGCTTTTGCCGAGATCAGATGAATATACACACATTGTGCAGGCACCCTTACTATGATTACATAACTCTTCATCCACTGAAGATTTGAAATTGCTTTTGAAATTTGCTGAGACCATGAGAGACTCTTGAATGCTGAGAACAAACTGAGGACTGATGGAGGTGGGGGGGAGGGGAAGCGTGGTGATGGGCATGGAGGAGGGTACTTGTGGGGATGAGCACTGGGTGTTATATGGAAACCAACTTGACAATAAACTATTAAAAAAAAAAATTTGCTGGGAGAGCCGGGATTGCTGATGGAGCTCAATGAAATCAGGATTGTCTACACCTAGATGTTAACTGATGGGACATTGAATAAGTGAATTATATTCTGGGGCAGGGTGGCTTTCCGCAAAGCCAAGAAGGAAGGAAGCTTGGAAGGAGCCAGAACTGTCTGTTGGGGGTCATGGTGAGGCTTATGTTCTCTTGCTGCACCTCACAGCCATCCTATGAAGTTGCTAGTACTTTACCCAATTGACTCCTGGGGAAACTGAGGCTTAGGAGATTGAACTTCATGTTGCTTGTACATGAAAGTGCTTGAATTCAGGAATGGTTCTGACTCCAGAATCTATATTTTTGGGAAAGGAGGAGGAAGGGCGGAGGTCATAGGGGTGAGGGGACAGCCTCTGGAGGCTTGGGCTGGGTACCTGTCGTAGCCCATCTGCCCACAGGCTATCTTGGCCAGAGCTTCTGTAAAGTTGTCGAAACAGGCAGAGGCCCAGCTCCTCGTGGCCGGGTCCAGCACCTGCAGAGTGGATCGGTCCCTGGAGAGGCGGACTGAGAAGGGAAGAACCAGGGTCAGCTGCACGTCAGGGGCCCGTCTGGCCCATCTTCCTCAGAATTCATGAGGCTGGCACAGCCTCCCTACACCCAGACCCTGGCACATCACAGAACCCCAACCCTTTCAGCCCCAAGGGAAGTCCTTCCATTTGGCTCCGCCCAAGTGAGCCTCGTTTTGATGGTAGCTAGGGTGACCAGATGTCCTGGGACAACCGCCATGTTGCCTGTTGCCCTGGGACAATTACTAAGAACTTTGTCTTTTGCTGCTATAGATACCAGTTGGTGATACATGGGGACTCTACCCATGCCCCCACACAGCTTGCCCAGCCTAGGGAACTTCTTAGTGAGGAACCTAGCTCCTTTTCCACATGAGGTCAGAGGGAGGAGGTTGAGAGGGAAATACTATTGGCAGTAGAATTGCAGGTGCCCATAGGCATTTGACTTCTGATTTAAAAAAAGGAGATATGTAAGAAGTCACTTAGTCCTGCACCTCGAAAGCCCCAACACCCATCTCCTGGGCTATCCTTTCTTTCCAGAGCCCACGTACTAGGTGGAGGAAGCTGGGCGGCCCCATCCAAGAGGGAATACAAGTTTTTGTTTGAAACATCCCCTATTCCTTTGAAGGACCTAGCTCAGTCTTGTTACATAGCGTGTTACAGTGAGCACTTAACCTAATGGACAGAGGGATCAACAGCTAGTCAGTGGCCATGGCTATTGGCCTTACTTTTCTAGTCCCCTTGAAGGAACAGATTTCCTAGAAAGGAGAGAACTCCCCTGGGTCATCCAATCCAGCCCCCTGCCTCAGCTCCACCCCGTGTGCAGCAGGATGGGGCAGGCTCTGTTGGAATTTCCTGTCCCCTCTGGGCCTCTGTTATCAGATATTCACTGAGTCTTCGATGCATGTTAAGTACTGGGATCTCGTTGGCAAGATCTGGTCCTGTTCTTCAGAACCTTACAGTAGGGATGGAAACTGACCAGTCAGTTGGCAGATGCTATGCAGGGGGCCAAGGGCACTGGAGCTGGTTTCCTGCTGTCCCCGCACCTCTATGCCCCCTCCAGCCCCTGGACTCACCTGCCACTGGGGACTCATCGGGGAAGTTCTTGACACAGAGCTGCTCATCCTCCCCCGAGGCACAGTCCTGCTGGCCGTCGCACACCTGCTTCCTCGGGATGAAGTGGAGAGACTGCCCGCAGAGGAAGTAGTATTTGTCCAGAATCACCTTGGCTGGAAGGCAGGGGCAGGGAGGGGGCCGTGAGGGCTGACAGTCAAGCAGGCAGCCAGGGGGGTGGCAGAGGTTGTGTGTCCCTAAAACTATACTGGGCTCTAAGGCAGAGGAGGGTTCCAGACCCCATTATGCCACTTGGTAGCCTGTGTGGAGACCCCAGTTGTTACTCCGGCACCACTGCTTGCCCAGGCCTCCCCTGGATGAATTTGGCCCCTTCTTCTCTCTCCATTGCGGCAGGACATGTGTGCAGAGAAAGCAAGCTCTCCTTCTTATTAGTCTAAATAGAACAGACCTAGGACCACGTATAAGAGGATTAGGAGGAACTTAACGGAGGACCATGGGGGAGAAGAAGGGGGGAAATGGTGGGGGAAAGGGAGAGAGGCAAACCATGAGAGACTCTTGAATGCTGAGAACAAACTGAGGACTGATGGGTGTAGGGGGGAGGGGGGAGATGGGCAGGGAGGAGGGCGCTTGTGGGGATGAGCACTGGGTGTTATATGGAAACCAACTTGACAATAAACTATTTGTAAGAAGAAAAAAACCAAAACAAAACCAGACCTAGGACCACGGCAAGTCTGCTTCTGCTGCTGCAGACCCATTGCCAAGGCTGGCCAAGTGCAGGAGGCAATCTGCATCTCCCACCTCATTGGGGCTCTGGCTGGTGTTTGTGCTGGGGATCCGCATTCCCATCTCCACAGACAGTCCCCACTCTCAGCTGCCTCTAACTGCCACGCCTCCTCTCTGAGCCTGGGTGCTCTAGTGGAAGATGAGGGTTGGGGCCCCATGATCTCTGAGTGACCATGGCTGCTGCTGGTGGAAATACCACCATGGTTACAAGCACGGGCCCCCGAAAGGCCCGTCCTACCCAGGTAGCAAATGCATGCCTCTGTTTGTGGCCTTGGTCACCTCTCTGCACGCTGCATGCTGACCCACACTTTTGCACCACCTGATTTTCGTCTGGGTATCTTACACACATTATCTCTGATAGCCCTCTGACAGCCCTCTGATAGTTTACAGATGAGGAGTCTGAAGTTGGGAGAGGTTGAAGGACTTACTCAAGGTCACAGCAGCAAGGGGCATGCCAGGGTCCTCACCCAGGTGCCCCGACTCCTAGCCTGGTCCCTCGTGCCCTAGCCCCCACCCTGAGTGTGACTATGGGGAGGTGAAGGCAAAGACAGTCACAGGAGTGGGAGCTGAGAGGAGGGACTATGGGCATCACAGGTCATTCAGTTCCCTCGGTTACAGGGTGCTTGCCGGAGATCACACTGGGTCTAGGCACTGGCCGAGAGGAAGACAATGCTAAAGGCAGGGAGGGTGTGCTGTCTGCCCTGGGTGGAGCCTCCCCGGAGCCTTCTCTCTGTGTCTCTGCCTCACGAGCCACAGGGTTCTCTGCTGCTGCAGCCAGTAAGGCTGCTCAGGTGTCTGCAAACCGCCCGCCCCCCTGCCCCGGCCAGTGGCCTGAGTGGGTTTGTAACACATGCTGCTGTGCTTTCTCTGTGGCAGAGATCATCTGTGGGTAGGTGGGAGCTGAGCTCACCTCCCCCTTTCACTCCCTTCAGTGCAGGGGTGGATGCGTGTCACAGAAAGCTTTATGCAGATCACCTGCCTGTGACTGCCGGGTGATAGGGTGGAGGGTAAGGCTGTGCTCAGAGAGGCGGGTGGGAGCTGCCATTTGCTGTGGGGGTGGGGGCGGCCACTTACTGAGGACAGCCGTGACGATGATGGTCGCCAGGCTCAGCAGTGCTGCGATGATGGGGACCCCCACCTTTTTGAAGGTCTCCAGGGGAGTGCGGGATTTGCGCAGAGGGGTGACATCTGTGAGACGGAAAGAGCCTGCAGTCAGCACTTGAAGACCTCCCCTGCCAAGGCTCACAGCCTCCCTGCCAGGGAGCTCTGGTGCCCAGTCACAGAATGCTTTGGGGACAGTTTTGCTTAGCCCAGGGGTTTTATTCCTGCAGACTGGGCTTAGCTTCAGTGGCACGTGGTCACTCTACCTCCTTCCTTACCGAGGCTTATCCATCTTTCACCTGTGCCCTTCAAATGAGCCTCTAGACCATGGTGTCTTCCTCTTGTTGCGACTTAGCATCTTCTGGGATGTTTCACCTTGTCCTATCTGCCCCAGAAGAGGCAAGGACTCACTCACTTCACTATCATTTATCCTCTTTTCTGACTTATCTTTTGATGAAACTGTAAGCTTGAGGAGGGCAGGGACCTGTGATGCATTATGAGCTTAGTAGAGCCCTAATAAATACTTGTGAATGAATGTGTCCTAATGGCCTCCATCTCCAACTGAACTCAAGAAACCAGTGAGTCCCTAGAACGGTCCTTGTCTTTAAGGAGATCGAAGTTTGGGGGGGAAGAAGCACACAAGGACATAGTTGCCACTACCACCAGACATCAAAGCACTTAAATGGACCTCTTTAGGTGGACATGGGGTGGGGTGGGGGTCTAGACCGGCTGGGCAAAGGTCTGGGGTCAGGCGACTGTGTGTTCCCCATGTGCCTGGGATGTGACGTGGACAAACACATGTTGTGGAGGCAGGACTGGCATCGTCAGTTCATGGAGAGTCTTGAATACCTGCGGGAGGGTTGGATTTTATCCTGAAGGCAGAGTGGAGCTATGGGAGGCTTTTGAGCAGCAGAGAGACACGATCACATCAATACTTAGAAAGATGAATCTTTCATCAGGGAGGAGTTGGATGGGAACAAGAGTTTGGGGTCAGGAAGACCAGGTAGGAGCCTGTAGATGCCTAAAACAGAAGTGATAATAACTATATTGTCCATTTCATATGGTTATCCAAGGAGATGGTACAGAGGCAAGGATTTGAAAAAGTTAAATTCTCAGGAAGTATCAGAGATAGACTGATTCTTTCACATCCCCTCATCTGGCAGGTAATAAGCTGGGGGAGATGGGACTTCTCCTCCAGGGCGAGCTAGAGCAGGAAGCAGGGCAACCCTGAGAATCCCTAGAAAACAATAGGTCAACTCTCTTCCCCTTACCTCTCCATGGCTTGCTCTCTCATCTTCTTCAAGTTATTCTTCAAATGTCACCTTCCTTGTGACACCTTCTTGACTTCCCTACTTAAAAGGTAATTTCCCAACTACCTGTCCTCTTCCCTATTGTTTTAGATGCCTATCAGCTCTAATATACTCTATATTTTACATATTTTGTATATGTTCTGTCCCCTCCCACACCTGCCTGAAATGAAGGCTCCATGAAGAGAGGGCTTTTTGTCTTTTTCGTTCACTCCTGACTCCCTGGTGCCTCAACAGATATTTGCTGAGTGAATACATGCATTGCTCTTTGCTTGATCTTGTGAGTATATCCTTTCTGTCTTTCTTACAGGTCTCGTTTTCTGGCTTGAACAATGGCTAATTATATGTCTGTCTTGATCTCTTTCCCCAGCTTTTCAAAAGCAGAGAATGGCGCCCAGCCAGAGACTGGTGCTCAGTAAGTGCTGATATCATTGAATCTGTTGAAAAGGAAAGCATAGAAAACTTTGTGTTTCCTCAAAAGGGAGAGTTTAAACCTCAGACGCAGAGCTCAGGCCCTGGGGGTGTGGGCCGGTATTGCTTGTTATACCCAGGAGCTGGCACATAGGAGAATATCAGTCTTAGCAGATACTGTTTTAAAGTTCCAGTAGTCAGTGTGCAGAACTGTCCTCTTTCCTATGGCCATGGATATGGTGACATTTTGCTCATCCATTCAGGCATGATTTCTTTACCGAGCACTTACCGCTGGGGACATGAGATGGGCTTGTTTTTTCAGAGGTCAATCATCTATTGGGAGCCCCTTGATGGGTTCCCCTGTCCAGGTCCCCATGTCTCTGCCTCCCTGAGGTTCTCAGGGAGAGCATCATCAGGATGGGTAGAGTTTTCCTGGTTTACATTTCATACTTAAGGTTAACAAAGCCACTGTGAGCCTCCTTGCCTGGCACTGTTCCTTCCTTCAGCCTGTCCTGCACACTGCTGCCGGACACAGCCCCCCCAAATACTGTTGTCTTGTAATTTCCCTGCTCGAGGACCCTGCATGACTTCTGTCTCCAGACCACACTCTTCTCCAGACTTTCAAAGCCAGTGTGATTTGGCCTCCCTCTCTTCATCACGTGAGCTTCACACTGCTAATCCTCGCCAGCCCCGGGTACCATGTGGATGGTTCGTGCCCTGATCCTTGCACACCTGCTTCATTCTTACCTCTGAGCCTTTGCTCCCGTTCCTCCCTCCGCCACTGAAACCCTCATCATTTCCTTCCATCTTGTGGTCCTTTACTCCTGGGGGGACTTCGTCAAAGCTCGCCTGACCCATGGCGCTATTATCTCTGATCACTTGGTGCTGATGCCTCACTCTGGAGCTCCCTTCACACAGGCACTGGTTGTTAATTTAACTTGTTTTCTGGGTTGGCAGTTCTCAGGCTTACTCAGCTGGTAGAACTCTTGGAAGTCTGGTATTCTCTGGGGACGCTGTGGTCTATTGATACATCTAATTCCAAAGTATAAACATGCCACCATCTTCTTGCGGGAGATTATGTGGTTTGTAACCATTATTAACTTGGGACCCTGAAATGGTTGAAGTAAGTGGGATCAGTTATTTCCTTGCTGATCTCTCATAGTAATTTGTTTTTGCTCACTTGTTTTGCTGATTCAGTAGGCTATCAGGAGTAGCTATCAATGGTTTAAGAAAATGGAATGGAGGGGGAAAAAAGCCCTTGAATTTGGGTACACTATATCTCTTAAATTATTCAGGCAAACACGATGATTTTCTAGTCTACCAGGGAAAATACATTCGTCCAACTTGTTTCGTGACAGCATGGTCAGACTGTAAACTTCATGCGGGCAGGGACTTGGCTGTCTTATTTCCTGCTTAGTCTAGCATCTAGCCTAGAGCCTGGCACAAGGCAAGCACACACAGCGTTGTTGAATGAATAAGAAAAGAACTGAACGAATGCGTTGGAGAATGACTGCTTTTGGGGTTTTAGGTTTGTTGGCCCTGTTTCCCTAGAGACCATGCTTCCTACTTCTAGAATTATCCTGGACCTCACAGTTGCTTAATACTTTTTTGTTGAATGATGAATGGGTGGGTGGGTGGATATCTTCCGTAGCATTTAGCCCTCGGTGGTGGCGGTGAGGGCCATGAAAGAGGGATTTAGTATCTAGTTGGTAACTGATTGAAACTTGGAGGCTGAAGTAGACAGGGGAAAGCCAGACCTGAGCTTACCAAGGCTGTTGAGGGGTTGATCGCTGTCAGGATCCTGTAAATGAAGGAAAAACAGTCAGTGAGTTGAGGGAGGGAACTTCTCAGGCTGGGACTAAGAGCCCAGGGGAAGTTCTTGGTTCTTATCTCTATGCCCTTCTCCCTGCTGAATCTAAGTGGAAGGGGGGGTAGGCTCTATGATATCTAATTGGTTCAAAATATGAAATTCAGTTATGCGTCTATATTGCCTGGTACGACTAGCTTACTAAGTGTAGCAACTAGCTGGCAATTGTGGAAATGACTGGCTGTTGAGTTGCTGTATTGCTGAATTTCTGAGGATGATTCTGCTCTGCTGGTCTGGTCAACCATTCGTCTACTTCGCTGGATGTAGTAGTTCTGTAAATACTTGGATCCCTCACATAAGGGGACACTTCCATGGCCAGTTGATGCCGAAAGATATCCTTACTCATCCAAGCAAATGCAAATTCTTATCACAACGAGGTAGCTCCACATAGACACCAGAATGGCTAACATTAAAAAGACTGACAATACTAAGTGTTGACAAAGATGTGGGATGACTGGAACTCTTATACTCTGTTGTTGGGAGTATAAATTAGCACAGATACTTTAGGAAATGGTTTGGCTGAATCTGCTCGTGCTATATGACTGTTCTATGATTCTATGGCCCAGGATAAATGAGGAGAAATGAGGGCGTGTGTCTAGCAAAACATCTGTGTATGAATATTTGTAGTGACTGCACTCATAATAGCTAAAAATTGGCCAAACCCAATGTCAGTCATTGGTGGAATAGATACATAAATTGTGGTATATTTGTATCATGGAATATATTTCAACAATAGACAGGCATCACCTACGCTAAATGTAATGAATCTCATAGACATAATGAAGGAAAGAAATGAGACACAAGAGAATATTCTCTTCATGATTTCATATATATGAATTTTAAAAGGTAAAGTTGATCTATGGCAACAAGTCAGAATAGTGATTATCAGTGGGGAGGTGGGACAGTTGTTGGAAGCAGCACGATGGAATCTTCTGGAATACTAGAAAACATATAGATCTTAATCTAAGCGCTGGTTACATGGGGGGCACATATGTTGAACATTCTTTGGGGGGTATACGTGATATCTGAGTATTTTACTGAGTGTATGTTATGCTTAACCGAGTAAACAGACAAAAGCAATACCAGGGTACCAGGGCACTGTGGCATTTCTGCAAGTGTCATCTTAGGTCACCATTGACGCACATATACAAATACACACAAGCCTCTGTTCTTCCACTTACACCACCTCACGTGTGCACTCAGCACACACACAGCCACGCAGGGTCAGGCACAGGAGCCGTGCACACTGGGGTCACACACCCCCTTCTCTCCAAATCAAAGGGGAAGGGGGGGACTTCCAAGGCTCATGCCTCACCCTTGTGCCTCCCAGAAGCCTCTCTTCTCTGCTCCCTTTGCAGCTGGCACAGGATCTAGAGTTGGGCTGGGGGAGCAGCAGGCCTGCCTGAGTCTGGGTCTCCATCCTGGAACTGATCTGTTCATGGTGCTGAGGTCATGGCAGTCCCACTGGTTGGGAGAAGAGTTGCAGGGCCCTGAACACTTCTGCCTGGGAGTTTTCTAGTCCCATCTGGGGGACTGACCCCTGTGTGGGTGTACCAGATTAGGTCTGGTGTGTGTGTGTGTGTGTGTGTGTGTGTCCGTGTCCGTCCCTGGGTGTTTGCTCTCATACCTGAGTGTGGCGGACATAGTCTTTGGGAGAAGGAGCCCCTTCCTTATCTCCCAGACTCTGTAATCTGCTGGAGGGACGTGCTTGGCTTTGACCTTTGGTGACATGGAGCCTTGGGCAGATGTAGCTGATACATCAGGCTCTGGAGTCTGCAGGGGCTGAGCTGGAACATAGGTCCTGAGTCTTATTACTTGTGAGCCTTGGGTGTAAGATGGTTAACCTCTCAGAGCTTTATGCTCATCCTCCTCAAAGTGGGGGAAATGACATCTACTTCAAAGTGCTACTGTGAGGCTTAAGTGAGACATGTTGTGAGCACCCTTTCCCCCTGGGCCCCCTGACATTTGCTACAGTACTTTCCCACTGGGCACCCCTTTTTCTTACTGCTTTTGTGCCCTCAGAATTTCACACTGGGCTCATACCCAGGAAAGACCAGATAAATGGCTGTTCGATGGACCTGGGCTCTGGGCTCTGCCCTGTGGAGGACTCCCAGCCACCTCTCCTCCCCCATCTCCGGGGCCCGGGTGGGGACTATTTCCAGGAGAAAGATGAGACCAAATCCTGCAAGACTGCATTGCTGTGGCTGCAGAATTGGGTAATAATAACATCAATAGTACTTAACCTACATATTGTCGGCCGGTAACAGTTCACCAGATTCTTTTGTCTGACTCAGTTCAAGTTCAGGGGTGCAAAGGATACTGACTGTCTGATAACCAGTATGGGTGGCATTACATAGTTAAGTATTCAGTTAAATATTTGACCAGGCGCTGGTCTAAGGGCTGTGGATTCAAAGACAAATAAATAAATAACTGCAATAGGATGGGAGAGGTGCCCAGACAGGCCGGGCCGGGCCCTGCCCTCACCTCCGGGAAATGGGGAGTAGAGGGTGTTGGGAGGCAGGGGGAGGGTGGGTGTGAACAGATGAAGCCTGAGTGACGGATATCATGCAGAGTGAGCGAAGCGGGCAATGGGAGACCACGACTGGTGGGTGCTTAGGGCCGGAGGCCTAGGGAAGGGGCCAGGGTGGTTAGGGACAGCCTCTGGGCTGAGGTCGGAAGGACAGGGAAGAGCAAGGTTGACGCCGAGGGCCAGAACAAGATCAGCAAGGACAAGAGGCTGGTGGTGGGGAAGGTGACCGTGTGTTTGGAAGAGAAAAGCAGCAGCTGCGGCCAGTGGATTGGATGCTCTTGGTCTTCAGTGAGAGGGTAGGAGGGTAGAAGGGTATTTGCTGCGAGGCAAAGGCTGTGGAGAGGGCAGGCTGGAGGGGTCAAGAACATCCATTTAGTGGCCCTTCCCTCTCAGCTCATTCTTGTTCACTGAGTCTGCCTGTGCTTACATGCCTGAGTTAGTTGGGTGAGTCTCTTTTGTTTGTTATTAATTCAACAGATATCGACTGTATGCCTTTGATGGGCCCGGGATTGTACTAGAGGCAGAGACACAGAGGGAACAAAAGAGGCTTATAGTCTGCACTCTCTTGGTTCCTCATCTGTGAGCAGAAGTGACCTCAGTACCCCTTTAGCGAATACGTGTTCGACAGTGGCCCGCGGAATAGTGGTTGCCCAGTAAACATCCCACACCTTTTTGAAACCAGAGAAAATAAACTAACTCAAAACCACAAGCTAGAATTACAGATGGTGACTAATCGGTAATTACGGCATCCCTGGTGTCTCCTACGCCTGGCGTAGAGTGGGCATTTAATCAATATTTGCTGAGTGAAAGAATTAAGGAAAATATCCTGGTTTCAGGGCTCAGTCCCAGGCCAGCCTTGAAGAGGCTGATGGTGGCATATGCATACAATGGAACATTATACCGCTGTCAAAACAAACCATGCGGCCACAAAATAAAACGGATGGCATTAGTAATTTAACATTAAAGGAAAAAGCAAATCCCAAATGATTACATGTAACACGGAATCTTTTTGGTAAGGAAGCAAGAAAAATGATCAACATGGGGTTTGGGATGATGCCTACTTTCAAGGGGCTTCTAGCACATTTTCTGGCCTAGCAAAGATGTATAATCAATATTTGTGGATTATTAAACATAAGACCTGCCCACCTATCTGATCAGGGGAGGGAATGTGTGAGGTGAGGGGCAGGGGAATCTCACAGCTTTTGTCTGGGGCAGTGGATTTATGGAGGGTTACATTGTTAGAGCCATCTAACCAGCTGGAGAGTTACCAGGGGGTCTGCGGACCAATAGTGAAATAAGAAAATATCATGAGTCAAGGATTAGGGTTCGTCTGGTGGTGTGCACCTGAGGTTCAAAGAGAAAATAAAAAAGCAGTTGCCTGGCCATGCTGAGGGGTTTAAAGAGTCAAACTCCTATCTTTCCATCCTCCCTAGCTCTACTGTGATGTGCATGCTGCCTAAGTTCTTCTATCAAGTGGCCTGCTCTTTCTTTGGCTTTCTAGAAGCTTCTTTGGCAAACATCTCCAACACAGTGAGATTGGAGATGATAGATTGCTAAACTTCTAGGAAGGGGAGCTGCTGAAGGTCACAAGCATCCAGGGTAACGGGCAGGGAGGTGGCCACACTTAGGTCTGTGAGTGGCAACTGGAGAATATCAATGTCAATGACCTTCCTGAGGAGGGTGGAGATGGGAATGCATAGTAGCGGGGTTGCCCTTCATTCAGAATCCATCCCGAGTTGGGGCTGAGAGATGAGGGCACCAGGTAAGATTCAGGAGCCTGGCCATCTCTCCATCCCTGGGTGAGTCCATGCCATGATCACAGGATGCAGAGCCAAAAGGCAACTCCCTCATTTATGATAACAGGCTGGATGGGGGAAATGTCTAGCCCTGAAGGTGATAGAGGGAAGGAGCTTGAAAGGCTACTGAAGACCAACAGTGCTGCCTTCTGCTTTACTGGAGGTGTCTCAGTTTATCCCCAACTTGAACTCGGCCCCTGACCACAACTGCCACAGCCCAGCCCAGCCCAAGCAAAGGCACCAGCCTTTCCTGTGTTGTTGGGGCAGCTGGTGGGGCAGCCCGTCTGCTGTGTTGATTCAGTCCGCTGTAGAGCCCTGACTCATGGGTCCAGCCCAACTGGTGTCTGATTTAGGGGTTCTTCTGGGAAGGAAGCTCTTGTGGTCTGGATTACAATGGAAGGGGAGTAATGTCTGGGCCCCCAGAGCCCAGGAGTGCTGGGCTGGACAAGGTGGGGGTGGCGAGTGGGGAAGTAGAAGTTAGAAGGTGGGTGTTAGAAGGCAGAGAATCACTGATTGATTGCCTGATTAGCTCAGAGAATCATCTTTCCCCGCTTTTCAGGTGGTCACTGGTCACAGAAAGACATTAATCTAAGACCCAAAGGTAGAGGCAGAACAATCAACTACTGCATTTGGGGATTATTACAGAGCTTACACCATCTTTCATAAATGCTGTCCTTTTAAAAAAAAATGTTTATTTTGAGAGGGATCACAAGAGGGGAGAGGGGTAGAGAGAGAGAACCCCAGGCAGGCTCTGTGTTGTCAACACAGACCCCGATGCAGGGCTCAGTCCCACATACCGTGAGCTCATGATTTTTTTAAAAAATATTTTTATTTATTTCTGAGAGAGAGAGAGACAGCATGAACAGGAGAGGGGCAGAGAGAGAGGGAGACACAGAATCTGAAGCAGGCTTCAGGCTCTGAGCTAGCTGTCAGCACGGAGCCCGATGCGGGACTCGAACCCATGAACTGTGTGATCATGACCAGAGCCAAAGTCAGATGCCCAACCAACTGAGCCACTCAAGTGCCCCCGTGAGCTCATAATTTGAGCCGAAATCGAAAGTCAGATGCTTAACTGACTAAGCGACCAAGGCGCCCCAGTGCTGTCCCTTTTAATCTTCAGAACAACCCTGAGAAATTATCCCCATTTCCCAGAAGAGAAAACCAAGCCTCATGTAGATTAAGTGGCTGCTATGGGCTCAGAGCAAGTAACCGATCCAGCTCTTGGGGCCAGGGTTTTGGACTCAGTGGACTATTGTTTTCACCCCCACCTCCCCTATCCAGTTGCAGAAACCTATTTCGGGAAGTGCTATTAGCTGGCACTGGGTCCTTTTGATTCTCTACTCTCTGGCATGAAGTCTTTTTTTTTTTTTATTTTTTAAATTTTTTAAATGTTTTATTTATTTCTAGGAGAGAGAGAGACAGCGTGAGCAGGGGAGGGTCAGAGAGAGAGGGAGTCACAGACTGAAACAGGCTCCAGACTCTGAGCTGGCAGTCAGCACAGAGCCCGACACGGGGCTCGAACCCACGAACCGCGAGATCATGACCTAAGCGAAAGTCGGACGCTTAATCGACTAAGCCACCCAGGCGCCCCCGGCATGAAGTCTCAGTTGCGTATAGTTAGCATGCAGCTGATATGCAGAGCTTACCCCGGAGTCTCCTCAGCCCTTCATCAGTTTGAAGGCAAACCCATGCTCTGCAGAGTGTTCTAGGAACAACGGTAAGAACAACGAAGGGGCTGCTGCTGACCTTGGCGCCTAGTAGGGGCTTCACTGTTACTAGAGCCCTTCCTCCCTCTCTTTCATTAGGTTTGTACATTTCTCCACTCCTCCTCCTCCTCTCTTTCATTCCCCGCAGCCCCCGGTGTTGCAGATCTTGGAGAATCCCGGTTGGGTTTAGCTCAGCTTTAACCTTCCAGCTCAGAGGTGATGAATCCAGACACCAGGAGGCTCTTATTTTTAAATGAGGAGGAGGATTAAGTGTGTTGCAGAGAAGACCCAGAAGACCAGCTGGGGAGTAGAGTCCTCATATTGTCTTGTCTTTTGACTCGCTGTGTGGCTTTGGGCACACCCCTCAACCTCTCTGAACCTCAAGGTC